AAAAAAAAAAAAAGAACAAACTCAACTCAGAGTGTCCCAGAAGTTGGAGAGATTTAACTCTCCGTGTGACTCATTGGACTCCCCATCTGTGAACATACATAAAGATGTGGTTAAAAACATCAAGGTATTACTAAAGTACTTTATTATTATTATTATTAATATTATTAATTATTATTATTTATTATTACCCCATTATATTTCTATAAACACAACGACGAAAATGTAATGCTAACGTTAGCTTGTCGTGCGCGGCTACAAATTTAATCTTACGTCATCGCTCGTGTGTCTTGTTTACCTCTGACCCGGTCTCTGATGCACTGGACTGAGTTGAGCAGGTTCCGTAAAGGCACAGACACGTTCCCGTCACAGTTATCGACGCTCATCTTGGGATCCAGAAGTTCTCCCGTTTGCGCCGACACATGCGTGTTGTGGAACGTTGGGAAGGTAGAGGAAGTAGTTTGACTCCGGACAACCTTGAAGGAAGCACAGTCGGACAGGAAAGCGGCGGTACAGTATCTATCTTATTTTTCTTACATAACCGAATTTTAGAAATGTATTAGTTTTAAACAATAATGACATAATGTTTTCTCCGATTAGACAACCGGAATGATTACAATTAATAACAATATGGATGCAGTAGAAGGAAGAACCAAATGAGGGCACTGTTGTCCACGGTTGTCTTTCTGCTGCTGTCAGTGGACGCTGCTCTGGGCTTCGTCTTAGTGTGTGCGCCGAAAGTGCGTTTGTTTGTGCATTGTTGTGTTTCACTGGCTCTAACACCTTATAAAAATAATAATAATAAGAAGAAGAAGAAGAAGGGTGTCGCTGACAAAAGACTTAGCAGCTTTAGCATCACGTGCATCTGCAGAAACAAAGCAGCATGATTGAACGCAACAACATTGAACCAAGAATATGACAGAAGAAGACTGTGAGGTCATACACCTGGGGTGAAGTGTGACCAGTGTGTACGGTAATCATACGGCAGCAGTATAGGGGCTGAGGATGAATGAAGTCTTCACCTGAACACCCCCCCACCTGTGTTTAGGTGTTGTTGTAGCCCTTGTTCCTTCTGTGTCGTGTCTCCCTCTCCTCGCTCTTTTATTTCAGTACTGTCAACACCCCCGCTCCACTCTCCTCCTGGCTCACAGCTTTTCCTCTCAGCATAGAGAGGTGGAGGAGGAGAGCCAAACCAAATTACTTTATCATCTCTTCTCCTCCTCCCTTATATCTAATTTCCTCCTCGGTCTCTCTGTTCTTTCTCCCCGACTCTCCCCCCTCAGTGTTCTCTCAGGTGTGATCCGTGTGAGGAGTCACTGTCTAGACAACCGATTATACGAAATAATAAGGGCAAGCGAGGGGGAGATGAAGCATGAAGGGGGGGGGGGAGGATGGGAGGGAGGGGGTGTCAGACAGAGAGTGTGAAAGAGAGAGGGGTGTAAGTCTGAGGGAGGAAAAAACAACATATTCAAATGGGCTGGGGATTAAAAGTGATGAACAACACAAAGAAAATGAAGGAAAAAAGGAGGAACAAACAAGCAGACGGTGAGACAAATCATCAGAACGACGAACCATCAGAAGGACAGACAGACAGAAAGACAATCAGACAGACAGTGAGACAAACCATCAGAAGAACAGACAGAAAGACAATCAGACAGACGGTGAGACAAACAATCAGACGGTGAGACAAACCATCAGAACGACAAACCATCAGAAGGACCGACAGACAAAAAGACAATCAGACAGACAGTGAGACAAACAATCAGACAGACTGTGAGACAAACAATCAGATGGTGAGACAAACCATCAGAAGGACAGACAGAAAGACAATCAGACGGACAGTGAGACAGACAATCAGACAGACTGTGAGGCAAACAATCAGATGGTGAGACAAATAATCAGTATGTCAGACAGAAAGACAGTGAGGCAAACAATCAGACAGACAGTGAGACAAACAATCAGACGGTGAGACAAATCATCAGAAAGACAAACCATCAGACAGACAGAAAGACAATCAGACAGACAGTGAGGCAAACAATCAGACAGACAGAGAGACAAACAATCAGACAGACAGTGAGACAAACAGACAGACAAACAGACAGTGAGACAAACAATCAGACAGCCAGTGTGACAAACAATTAGACAGACAGAGATACACAAACAGTAAGACACATAGTGACAGCAGACAAGCGTGCGAGGACCAGGTGTGTTGTTGTCGAGCAGTGCTTCTCAAATAGTGGGGCAAGACTCCCTGGGGGACGGCGCAGTGTGGTGGTGGGGGTGGGGGTCTGAGGGGCTTTCAATGGAATATGGCACGCTGGACATAAATGTACCACTGCTGTAATGCTTAAATGATAACAAGCCTCCAGCCACTAGGGGGCAGCAACTCATACAGTGGTTTGTGCGGATAAAAATATACATGTTATCAGGTTCTCAATAGTATTTCAATTCACGGGAGTGTGGGTCGGACGGACGGACGGACAGGGGGGGGGGTTGAAAACATTTCTGTCCCCAAGGGAGCAGGTCTTGGCAGAAAATAATTGAGAACCACTGTTGTAGAGTAAAATAATCCCTGTCCCTCGTTACTGTACAGAAGGACATGTCCACAGCTGGGACAGAGAAACGGGGTTTGCTTATCATTCACAGGGGTCACCGAGGGTCTCTGAGAATGTCTTCACCCTTCACAGAGACGGAAGACAGAGACCAGGTCTGTCTTCACACAGACAGAGAGACAGACAGGGAAAAAAAATGGAAGGCAATAAAAACCTGTCACACTCTAATCAGATTAGGCTGATTATGCAGTGACATCATCACACATTGGTGTGTGTTGGTGGTTACCGCAGCCACACACACACACACACTGGTGTGTGTTGGTGGTTACCGCAGGTTTGACTTTCTCTCTCCCTCTTTAATGCGTCTGCTCTTTTTCCCCTCTGCTCTTGTTTTGATGTTAACAGGATTTGTCACCACGAACTGCCTCTGCCTCCGCATCCACCAACACAGAGGCCAGGCCCGGGGTCAGAAAACTGTGATCCATAATCTATAGTCGAAATCAGTCCTCGTCCAATCATGTTCCCCTGGTCCGTCCGGTGACCTGCGTCCGTCTCTCTGTAGATTTGTTTGTCTGTTGAACTTCCCTTTCCTTCTTTGCCGAACTCTGACTGACTGTTTGTACACTCCATGTCCATCAGAGGACATTTTTAATAGTCTACTGCACCTTGTCTCATACGGCAGCGGGGGAAAGGAAAAGAGGGTGGGCAAGCTTGTAAGAGACAAGAGTAGACAGAGAGAGAGAGAGAGAGAGGCAAGGAGAGGGAGATTAGGGTGGGTGGCCAGATAGAGGGTATGGGTGAGATAATGACAGTAGACGGGAGAGAGAGAGAGAGAGAGAAAGAGAGAGAGAGAGACAGGAGTCTTGGGAGGGGGGGGGGGGGGGGGGGGGGGGGTGAAAAGAAAGAGTTTTTGCAGTGGTTTACACAGAGCCAGACATTACCTCACACAGCTGCAGCAGGGTGACAGTCTGTGTGTGTGTGTGTGCGTGCGTATGCCTAATATCCTAATGCAGAGATTCTGGTCAAATGTCCAAGTCGAGTTTGTTCTGTCGTGCGACCTAAAAGACACAGGTCTGATCAACGGTACAGAAACATACGTACAACGTACGCAGCGGGCGGCGGTGTTCGGACAGATCACAGAGAACACAGTCTCATTAAAAACTCTTTCATCGGCTGACTCGTGAAAGTCAGGTCCCGGTGAAAAGACGGCGGGACAGACGTTTGAGGCTGGGTGTGTGGAGCTCGCACCCGTCTGTGCTGTTTCGTTACTGTGTGTTAACTACGACTGTAAAAACACACACCTGTGGAGCCTGGCTGTCTGACTGTCTGTCTGTCTGACTGTCTGACTGTCTGTCTGTCTGCCTGTCTGACTGTCTGTCTGTCTGTCTGTCTGCCTGTCTGACTGTCTGTCTGACTGTTTGTCTGTCTGACTGTCTGACTGTCTGTCTGTCGGTCTGACTGTCTGTCTGACTGTCTGACTGTCTGTCTGGCTGTCTGTCTGTCTGACTGTCTGTCTGTCTGACCGTCTGTCTGTCTGTCTGTCTGTCTGTCTGCCTGTCTGACTGTCTGTCTGACTGTCTGGCTGTCTGACTGTCTATCTGTCTGTCTGACTGTCTGTCTGACTGACTGTCTGACTGTCTGACTGTCTGTCTGTCTGACTGTCTCTCTGTCTGACTGTCTGACTGTCTGTCTGTCGGTCTGACTGTCTGTCTGACTGTCTGTCTGACTGACTGTCTGACTGTCTGTCTGACTGTCTGGCTGTCTGACTGTCTATCTGTCTGTCTGACTGTCTGTCTGACTGACTGTCTGACTGTCTGACTGTCTGACTGACTGTCTGTCTGTCTGACTGACTGTCTGACTGTCTGACTGTCTGTCTGTCTGGCTGTCTGTCTGTCTGTCTGTCTGTCTGCCTGTCTGACTGTCTGACTGTCTGTCTGACTGCCTGTCTGTCTGACTGTCTGACTGACTGTCTGACTGTCTGTCTGTCTGACTGCCTGTCTGTCTGACTGTCTGACTGTCTGACTGTCTGTCTGTCTGCCTGTCTGACTGTCTGTCTGTCTGACTGTCTCTCTGTCTGACTGTCTGACTGTCTGTCTGGCTGTCTGACTGTCTGTCTGTCTGACTGACTGTCTGACTGTCTGACTGTCTGACTGTCTGACTGTCTGTCTGTCGGTCTGACTGTCTGTCTGACTGTCTGTCTGTCTGGCTGTCTGTCTGTCTGTCTGTCTGACTGTCTGTCTGCCTGTCTGTCTGTCTGACTGTCTGACTGACTGTCTGACTGTCTGACTGTCTGACTGACTGTCTGTCTGACTGTCTGTCTGTCTGTCTGTCTGCCTGTCTGACTGTCTGTCTGTCTGACTGACTGTCTGACTGTCTGTCTGACTGCCTGTCTGTCTGACTGTCTGACTGTCTGACTGTCTGTCTGTCGGTCTGACTGTCTGTCTGACTGTCTGACTGTCTGACTGTCTGTCTGTCTGACTGTCTCTGCTCTGCGTCAGCATAACAGATGTAAATTTCTCAGGGTTTGTGTGCGAAAATGCAGAGGAAGAGGGAGGACAAAAACCTAGAGAGGAACCAAAGACACCTACATGAAAACGTCAGCGGTTGAGGTGCGATGCACTCGCGTAACATTCGGAAAGACGACCGGTGTACCCATGACTTTCGCAGACCTTAATGAACCTTTATCCAGACGTACCGAAGACTGACACAAAAGGGAATCTTCTCAGACAGAGGTGTGCGGGAAAAGCACAAAAAGCGCTCGACTCACCAGTGACTCACCAACTCCATTGAGAACAGGAGTTAAGTTAAGACAATGGGGGACTGGGGTGGGGTATGGGGCTAGCTTTAAGACTCGAACCCGAAGCCTTCCGGACCCATGTCGGCTTCCCTAACCACCAAGGCACCACTGCCCCGTGTGTTAAGACCGACTTATTGCAGATTATTATTATGTAATTATCAATTAATTAATAATATAATACATTATCCTCATTAAAAATCGTTTCCGCTCCTCCTACTTTGTTCTCAACTCGGACCTAAGGTGAACACTTAGAAGAGAATTCAAGGTCAGTGCTGAAAAATATCAACAGAGGAATGCTTCCCGACGGCTGGATGGTTTTTTTTTTTTGGTTTTTTTTTTTGTTTGCCTTTTTCTTCGGTGACATTTTAAAATCGCTGCAATAAAGAAACTTGTCCTCATTTAAATCCGCTTTGAACTTCAGAACCTGTAGAGACAAAGACGACTAAAATACAAAGACTTAAGATTTAAAATTTGAAAAAAAAAAAAAAAAAGAAGAAGAAGCTGATGCCACCTGCTGTAGGAGACTGAGAAGGAGAGAAATAAGACGAAAAATAAGGAGGATTAGGAGGATGAAGGAGAGGGAGAGGAGTAGGGGAGGAGAACTCAGGCGCAGTCTGCAGCTCTCTGGTCTGACATCGTTTTGAATTTGGATCCAAGAAAATTGACGTGTGGTCCTGACTCTTAGATGTTAAGGCGTGGAGTCTGCTGTTGGTCAAATCCCTAAATGGACCAGCGGCTGTCAGAAGAATCCTTTTAGAGAAGGTTCAGATCCAACTGAAGACTTTTTTTTATAACTTACTTTCATCTCAGCAGGGCATTTTATAAGTGTGTTCACTACAGAACGAAGCTGTAAATAAACCAGTGTGTGATAGAACTAAATCATCGTCTCATTATATCTCAGCCTTCACCTGACGATAACAGTTATAATGGAAGCAAAGGGCAGTACTGCTGAAGTCCAGCAGAGGTCACCAGAGACGTTAATTCACTTTACGCCGTTGATTCCCCGAATTTGACATTTTAATTTCCGGCCTGTTTGAAAATACATTTTTATTTTAATAATTTGAATTTAAATGTGCTTTTTCTGCAGGAAACATATATTTTTTAAAATAACGTAACTGTAACAATTAATGCTAAACATGCAAACCTTGACTTTGGACTCTAAAATTTGACGAATGAAAAAACAACAACAATAACAGTCATTAAGTTAAGGATTAGTAAAAATAAATAAATATTTCGTGAATATAAATAAGGATTAGTTAATGAACAAGTTAATCAATAAATAAAGCCAGATAAGGGGAGATGGAATCTTACTTTCTTTTCTCTCCATTCTGAACTATTCAAGCACCCTGACAACCACCCTGTGTGTGAGTCACAAACACAGTGGTCACCTGGTTATTAATCATCATCATTCACGTTGTGGTTTTGTTTGTGTTCTCAGCAGAACGTTCTCACTGCTACATCTGCTTTGTTACCCTAAGGGGTGCTGGTTTGAATCCCAGCCTCAGCATGGTTGTGCTGGTTTCACTCCCTCGGCTGTGGATTCCTGAAGTTCACTAAGTTCATGGATGCGTCTGAAATTCTGCTGGACTGGCCTGAAAGCACACATTTAACAGACCAGTGCGTGACATCTACTAACCTGTCGGTGAGTCATCTGGTTGATCAGTTAACACGTGTACAAATGATGTGTTGGAGGCAAAACATCCTGCTGTAAACTTCAGCTGACCTCATTAAAAAAAAAGTAGACTCAGATCAGACAGGACACCGCAGTCTGGCTTCACTGGTCCCTGGAGGCTGTCAATCAGGGAAGTGACGCAATCTGTCTGGTTCAGTTGATCCACTGCAGACACACAGAGAGAGAGAGAGAGAGAGATGCAGAACGGTTACTGTTCATGACACCGCACTGATTCCCAATCATATATATATATATATATATATTTAGGTCTAACTTTAAAATAATAATCCATCCACGCACACGCACGCACATAGGCGCGCGCACGGAGAACAGAAGAACATCCCAATGTTCCGGATGAAGTGTGTGAAGACAATTGCAAACTTGACATCAGACACAGACAGTGCGACAGACAGGGAGAGGGGTGTGAGAGAACGGATGGAGAGGGAGTGAGTGTGTGTTTGTGTGTCACTTCTCCCTAGAGAAAGAGACCAAGAGAGAGAGGGAGGGAGAGAGGGAGAGAGAGAGAGAGAGAAGGAAGGAGGAGACCCAAATGTCCAGTTTAGTCTTCGGTCACTCGGCGGAATCACACGAAGTCTGAATTGTGACGAACTTTAAAAGTGGCCGAACTACGTTTTAGCGGAATACTATTTAACGGCTCAAAGATAGATAGATAGAGAGAGAGAGAGAGAGAGATAGAAGAGAAGCGGCGGACTGAGCAAAGAGGAAGGAGGGGAGGCTGGAGAGAGAGAGACAGAGAGAGAGAGAGAGAGAGAAGCGGTGAATTTGTGACTGGAGTTTGGTCGGTGCCCCTCTCCTCTCCTCTCCTCTCCACTCCTCACGTCACCCTCCCTGCTCCTCTGTCTGAGTCTCCTTCGGAGTATTTCCATGTCTGCTCCTCGGGGACTTTAAATGTTCAACTTGATGGGTGTTTTAAACACCACGGCCGCAAATGTCTCCTGTACTTGTAACTGCCAGAGATTCACCTCCCTCCAGAGCATGGAGATCAGTAAGTCCGCTTCATCTCTGTCTGTCTTAATGTCCGTGTCAAAGCCGTGTGTGTGTGTGCTTTTGAACAACAGTTGAGCGTGTTCTAACGCTGTCGGTCCTCGCCGTGTACACTGTTTTATCGGTCTTTGCTGGGTCTACCTGCTACGACGTCATGATATTTTTTAACGTTTCTTTTAGTACGTTACAACTCCGAACTCCTGTGTATTTGTGCCTATATCTTCCTTTTACTAACAAACACTGTCGTCCCGCGTCCTGTACACACCGTAGTCTGACGTTAAGTTTGATTTTGAACTTGACCTAAACCATATCCTTCCAGTTTCTTCGAACCGGAGCCAAAGAGCAGAGAAGCCGTCGCTGTCGTAGGGGGTTTTTTTTGTGTGTGTGTGTGATTGACTGTGTGTTCTGAGCTAACTGTTGGACGCCGGCCGATAACTTTGACAAATACGATGGGATTTCTGGGGCTTTCAGCTCGGCGTGCTGTTGTCGATTTTTTTTTTTCGCTCAGCACTCACTTCACTGGGAGAGGGGGGAAAAAAAACCCGGGGGGGTTCTGGTGTGGTTTGTACCGCAAAACGGAGCTTAAAGTACGGATAAAGTGTGGCGAAGTTACTGCGGAGAACCGTGGGAGCTGGGAGCAGAGAAGGGGGGGGGGGGGGAAAGGTGGAGGTTATGTCGCTGCTTCGTCATGTCGAGAATAGCCAGACGTCTGTCTCGCCGTCTGTCTGCCAGCGTGCACGAGCCCGCGTGCACGGAGCCGACAAAAAAAAGTGGCGTGTGTGTCTGTGTCTGTGTGTGTGTGTGTTTTCGTCTGTGTGTTGTGTCTGTGGTTTAGGCGTGTGTGTGTGTGTGTGTGTGTAGCTATTATTGGTATAAACACTAATGTCTCTTCTCGGGAATGGTTGTTGTCGTGGTACAAGTTGAGCTCCAGTATTTCCACATGATTCGAGTGCAAGACCCCCGTTGAGCTCCAGTATTTCCACATGATTCAAGTGTAAGACCCCACCTCATGTTCTTGTGTTGACTGGAGACAAAGACAATGACTTTAGTTAAATGGTCCAAACATTTAAATTTAAATTAATTAAATTTAAATTTAAATTTAGTTAAATGGTTAAATGGTCCAGTTCGACCACAGAACCCACTGTTCACTGAAGCTCACGTCCAGGAGTCCAGTGGACTCTAATGTCATCTTCTCGTTGACCTGTCCTCACTGTTCCTCCAGGCTGTGACCCCCCCGTGAAAGAAAGCCCCTTTTTGTCCAAAGGTCTAGACCAGGACCAGAGTACTGTACTGTACTTCAGGGATGGAAAACCTCTCTGGTTTTTGTGTCTGTGGTCAGACTTCAAAGACACCGCGTTGACCGTGCTCAGAGCAGAAACAACTTCCACATGTCTCTTTGATGCCACAGCGCAAAAACAGCTTCTCTGAACTCGGAACGGCGAGCCGCGAAATAAAATAAGAATGCAGTCTGAGAGACAGACGTGATGTTTAGTCTGCGCAGCCAGACGGAGGGGAAACGGACCAACCACAGGAGGGAGGCCGCAGAGGAAGAAAAGAGGACGGACGGAGGAGGAGGAGGAGGAGGAAGGAGAAGGTTTGAACTTTTAGGGCTGTTGGAGCAGGAAGGAGGAGGAAAAGTAGAAAAGAAAGAACCTGAAAAGTTGACGTGGAAAGGAATGTTGACAGAAATGATCATTGACATGAAGAATCGGAGGCCCAAAAAAAAAAAAAAACAAACCCTAAACAACGACACAAAGGGCTCTGAGACTCAGTCCGGGAGATGAGCTGTCAGATAATAACGGCGTGGTGACACTTCGGTTGCTCTCTTGTGTTTCTTCCGTCCCTTTGTCTCCGTTTGTTGTAGTTCAATGTACCTGCTCTTCTACACTTCAAACATCCAGTCTCGCAATTTCTCCTCACGTTCTTCAGCAATGATGACTTGAGAGCAGAATTTGTCCTGGAAGCCTATTAAACACATGTCTGTGGCAGACATCTCCAGTCAAAGCACATGATATCAGCCTTACTCATGGGGTTTGTTCTTCCTCTCTCTCTCTCTTCCTCTCTCTCTCTCTCTCTCTCTCTCTCTCTCTCTCTGTGTCGGGTGAAGTCATTCCCGGTCACAGTTCCTCAGAATCATTTCTTACCACCGACTCCGTGCGCGCTCATTTGTGACTAAACGTCTGCTCGCCTTAACGTCACAACCTCCGTGGTGTTTTCAGAGCGGCAGGAATGTTACCTGGAGCATTAGCGCGGCGCGTTCGTTGCGCTTGAGCAGAGAGCCGTTAGCGTACAGGATGTGACTGTTGCGTCGTCAGCAGCAGGAAGTGCGTTCTGTCTGCACGCCGATGAAAATCTGTCTGACCTTTTGACCCCCTCACCCATAGACTGTATGTTTACCAGATTTTAGTTTTGTTCATAAAAAGGCCCTGGTGTTTGTAACTGTTCCGGTGAGGTCAGGGGTCGTCATCGTCATCAAACTGTCTGATCAGAGAGGACGTGTCGGAGCAGCAGATCACATCTGAGACACACACACACACACACTCATACACATGCACAGAGACACGTTTTCAACACTGAACTGAAATAACGCGGCTTTTGCTGGAGCTCTGTTTTGATTGGTCCAAGGCCATGTGATGTGTAGTTGTGTTAGCCAGGCCGGTTCTGTTTGTGGTAAAAATGTTAAGAACATACACCACAACATCCATGTTTTTGGTGTAACTCGTGGGGTTCCACTCTTAGTTTTGTTGCTTCCGGTAAACTGCATTTGTTTTTGTTTTTTTTTTTGTTGCTTTGATTTGATTGGCCGTAAGTGAACCTCTGAACTGATTCATCACAAAGAGAACTCTCTCTCTCTCTCGCTCCTGACTGTCAACGCTGTCAACGCAGAGCGTGTCGAGATTAGCCATCCAAACGGCAGGAAAACAGAATATTTCTAATCTGTTTTCCTAATATTTTTTACACACGGTACAACAGAGCTGTCAATCATTTCAGTGAAGACGAAGACTTTTTAAGTTTATTTGGGAGAGGCCGCGTGACACACACACACACACACAATTAAAGACATGCATATGTAGATGTATGCAGCACTATGCACGTTGGAGGTCGGAGGTCAAGGTCGCCGTCGTTTCAGAGGGGGGATCGTTCCTGCTCTCGTGTGTCTGTCGTCGCTGCGTGTGATCTACATATAAGATGTTGTGCAGCTGAGGCCCGCGTAGACTCCTAGACCTGTACGGTCCCATTAATTAGTCTGAAGTCCAGACCAGGCCTGTATATATTCGCGTGAATGCATCCACACCAGGGAGGCGCCGGCGCCGGCGCTATAAATAAGACCAGGTCTGCCTGACGTGGTCTGTGATCGTCTCCGTTGTTTTTTGTTTTTTTTTTCTCCATTAATTAGTCTGAGGAACCATGAGGAACCATGTCTGCGGGGCAGTCGGTTTTCCTAAATGCCCTGATTGTTGTCTGTGTCTGCAGGGACAAGCTCCCGAGTCAGGAGTTATGGTTCTGTTGAGCTCTCGCTGGCCCGACACACAGTCTTAGTCGTATTCAACAGTCGGTAGCCAGGATCGGTGCAGGTGCTGGAGCGAAGCCTCAGTTGCGCTCTCTGATGTCTGTGAACCTGAGGGTCGTGTCTGGGCTGGACCAAACGGTGGCGGAAAAAACAAACACAGTTTGAACTGACGTCGAGATCTTTAGGCCGAAATCGGGCTCGGATCAGACGATCTCAAGATTTCGTATCACTTTTTTTAATAAGGAAAAAAAAAAATTCAGATATTTTTAGTAGTGGCTGTTTTCACCGCTGTCTTTTCCAGTGACATGACTTTTCTTTTCTACTGTCATTAGTGCTTTAGTATGACTTACAGAGAAAAAGTCAAGCCAAGACAAGTGATTTAACAGCACGGAAGAAAATACTTTGAAATACAGGTATATTTGGAGAGGTGGTACACAGAAACAGACGTTTGAAATATAAATATTTCAACAGCTTTAACTGAAGAAAATATCGGTCTGTCCTGGGGGACAGTTGGCTGCGTTTGTCCCCTTCTGACCCCCCCCCCCCCCCCCCCCCTCACCTCCTCCCACCCCGCCGC